AATTGGAATTTTTCACACACAAGCCTTGCTATATGAGCTCTCAAAGCATATAAAAATTATACGGCTTAAATGTGAAGTTGGGTGCAAAAGAATACAATTAAATCCTCTGTCGGGAAAAAACGAAATGACTTTCCGAACAACCCTACAGTTTTGTTCGTTCGGTCTTGGTTTTAGTCTTGGTCTCGTTTGTTCTGTCGTAGTCTTGGTTTTGCTAGTGTAAAGATCGTCTTTTTCGTAAAACCTAGAACAGTTTTGCTCATCACTATTTATAACATTCTATTTTCTTTTACTGAAATGGATAGATAACTATCCCAATTTTTTAAATTTCTAAATTATCTACATACGTAGGTATACTAAAATGAAAATGACGTTAGAGGTATAGTAGAAGCGAATAGTTCTATAAATTACCTCGACTTTATTCTAAATAAAAATAACGGATAATCCTTTTGAAAATATCATAAACCGCGCATACGGACACACACATTATACATGTTAAATGCTTTCACCCTATGTCTCATAAATTAACTTTTTTTTACTCTAGCTTTCGTAAACTTTACCGATGTCCGCAGAAGATTACAGGTACTGTAAGGAACTAAATAGAATGTATGTTAATGCTAATGTAAACAATAATAGTTTTCATATATCCTTAGTAAGATTAGAATATTTCAGATAATAAACTAAACAAAAGAACATTAACTTTACTTAATCCTCATGCAGTTGACAAAAACCCTGATAATTACTGTTTGCTTATACATCCTTAGGCAACTTTTAAATAAAAGAAGGAAAATATTTATCAAAATTTAGTTATTCGGTTACCTCCCTTAAAACGGATAACGCATTAGGGAATGAACGTCCTGACGCAATCTTTCAATCTTTCGAACAGCCCCCAAAACAGTGTCGAATTAATACACACCAGCTGTGTAAAACTGAAAACTATTGTGCTAATAAATGCATGTAATCCAAAATTCATAGAAAACGATTCGAAAAACTTCACTTATTAGATGAACCCACAGCTAAAGAAACTGGAATCCATTTCTTTCTCTTATTATAACGTGTAAAAGATTAGAAACAAAAAGGGGTTGTAAGTATTTTTATATAAAACGATTGATGTCGATTTTACATCAATATAATTATTTGCAACCCTATTTCGGCTCTGATTTTTCACGCTAAAGAAACTATTTTGGCGTGTCTTTTTTCCAATTAAAACGAGTGACAAAGGCATATGAGTAAGCACATAGAAGAATTATTTGTTGCTGAACTGAAGAAACTATAACATAAAGATACAAAAACTGTATCTCAATCACTTCAAATTGTTAAATATGAATTATCACAATCATTT